ATATTCAGACAAAAGGGATTCCTCATTCAAAGAGGGAACCCCGATCTTTAGCTTACATCCCCTTTTATAGTTAACGGTACAAAAAAATCTGAAAGAGAAAAGTTGATTGGACAGGATAATAACGTACATGCTTATTAAAATGAGGTTCTGAAGGGGAATAAATTCTAAGGAGAAAGGTTGTTTAGGGTTCACAAGAGATAAGCCAGACCCCAATTTGTACTAATAAACTTTTCTTATCAGGAACTAGTCTCTAGATTATTTATCACTTTAGGAATGTTAAAAGCTAATGACTAGTGATTGTCTTTTCATTCAATGGATTTGGATAAAAACCTGTGCAGAGACTCTACATCCGCTTTGGGAAGAGTTTTCCACGCTATTGATAACTATACAATAACGAACTTGGTTACACTTTTCCTGCTCATCACTAAACATCACTAAAGTGATGTTCAAGGTTTATTAGCTTTTAACATTCCTAAAGTGATAAATGAGCTGGAGACTAGTTCCTGATAAGAAAAGTTTGTTAGTCAAATTGGGGTCTGGCTTATCTCTTGTGAACCCTAAACAACCTTTCTCCTTACAATTTATTCCCCTTCAGAACCTCATTTTAATAAACATGTATGCTATTATCCTGTCCAATCAACTTTCCTCTTTCAGTTTTCTTTGTTATGTTAACTATAAAATGGGATGTAAGCTAAAGATTGGGGTTCCCTCTTTGAATGAGGAATTCCTTTTGTCTGAATATTCTGATAAATTGTAATAAAATGATAAAAAAGGAAGCCCTGCTAGATGTTGCTCACATCTTAGTTAGCTCATGGTTAGATTACTCCAATGTACTCTATAAAGATCTGCGCCCGAAAACTATCCACAATTTGCAAATTGCTGCAGAATATACTGGTGCAGTGATTTATGAATACACTTTAGTATGCCCATGTAAATTACAACTTCATGAAATACACTGGCTCCCAACAGGGTTCCAGGTGCAATTTCAGCTGCTGTTTATCACCTACAGGAACTAGAAATTTGTAGGACTACCTTTGTCCAATGCTATTTGCCGTCCTGCATGTCTAACATACTTTGAAATGATGTCATTGTGGTTGGCCTTGGCTGACCTAGAAGGGTATTGAAAACTTGATGCATCTTGCATGCTGGGGCTAAGTTGATTGGACTTCCTGCCTAGAATAGTGTAAAATTTTTTGTGGGTTTCCCAGATTAATTGGGGTTGTTATGATTGAAATTGTTTTTGTTTATTGTATGCTGTTCATATCTGTTCCAGTTGATGGGCCTATACTGTAAATATTTTAAATAAAAACAAACAAAACCCGTCTGAGTATGTTTAAGATTTGAATTTGTTAAGAACTCTACTTAGAAGACATGCTTCTGAACAGGAGCAAAGGGCTAAAAGAATATTGAGTACTTATATAACAGGAAATCCTGTTTAAAAAATATTTATAACAAAACAGTTATGGATGCAGAGTATGGGATTAGCCCAGCTGCCAATTAATATTAATAAACATTATTGTATTTAAAGAAAATGCTCAATTTATTAAAAAATACACAAACCTAGAAAATCCTTCTTAAATTATACCCTGAAGAGTGGGAAGGCTGATTAGCCCCATGAAGGTGAAGTTGCAGCGTGTCCATCAAGATGCTCAATTTTGTCTCTGAATGGGTAACCCTGAAGCAACAGCTGCATACCTTGGGGTCCTCCTTGGTTCCCCTAGGCTCTGGCCAACTCCAACTGATATACCAATTATGGCTCTACAGCAATAATAATCATCTCTTACTAGGTCTCCTACAATGAATTCCATTTGTGGCTACTTCTGAAGATCACTGTGAAGTTTCAATTAATTGATAATGCAGCAGCCCAATTGTTAGTTGGCATTTGTTGCTATGAACAAATGATATCTGCACTGGCTTCCTATGTGTTTCTGGATATAGTTTAAGGTGTGCTGGTCATTACCAATTAAGAATTTACAGGACCACCATTTCCAACCAGAATTGCCTTTTGTGCCCAAGGAAGAAACTGTTGGCAGCCTACCATTTTGATCAGATATGGAGGGTGGAGGCTTTAAGGGGTGCTTTTCAATAGTAACAGCTATACTGTGGAATCACCTCACCTTAGAAATTAGGCTAACCATCAATGCCACTGTTTTGGCCTTCTAGATAGCTTTGAAAACTGAATTGTTTTGGAAGTAGATGTAAAGCAATACCTTTGTGATACTCCAAGAAACGCTTTTTTAAGGGCAGAAATGTCAGTTAATCTGAAATATCTAACTCATTTACTGTCTTTCGAGGAGATTTTACATTAAAAACAAGATCTGGAATTGGAAGGTTATATATGTCATTGGTTTTCCTATGTTCAGCTAATGGAAAGATTTAAACTTGATAAGAAGAACTATCACTTTGAAAAGAGTAAGATTAATTTTGATGTGGAACTGTGTGCAAATGATGAACATATTACTGCTAATATGAACACACTTTTGTTGAAAATGGACACAGAATTGAAACAAGTTAAACACTGAATTATAGGTTGGGCAAAAACAAATCTGAATACACCATTTGATCAATGGGAGAAATATTGGGAAAAAGGGCTGAAATTTACACTAAATTATAATCTTAAGGAAAACTTTTATAAAATGACATCTGGTATTTGATGCTAGATAAAGGGTCAGAAATGTATAAAGGAATTTCAAATATTTGTTGGAAATGCAACTAATCTGAAGGTGCATATATTCATTCAATGGACACGTAAATAAACCAGAAAATATTGCGATCAAATATATGTATTTTGATTTTAAAGATTCTAAAGATAAATGTACAGCTGATATCAGAATTTTTTCCTTTTGGGGATAATGGATAAACATTGAAAGATCCTATTGAAATTTGTTTTTATACTGTATATGATAACAGTGGCAAGACTGGTTTGCACTAAGAGGGAAAGACTTGAAAATTGGAAGAATGAATGGTTAAACTAATGGTTTGCTCTATTGTTTTTTTAACTTAATGTTTTTTCAATCCAACTGTGGAAGCTTTATTTAAAATGCTTGTGATGGCCTTAATTGTTTTAAGATCTTGAATTGCAGCAAGTATAAATGCAGAAGACAAATAAATAAAATTAAGAGAGAGAGGGTGGGGAGAGGGAGGGAGATATTCCCTTGTTTCTTAAACATGGAGACTCGATTAAGTATTCATGGGCTACATGAGAAACATACTCAGGGACAATATGTGAAGACCTTTCCCCTCGCCTGTCACTTGCCATTTGTTTTTGTGATCAAATAGGCTCAGAGGGGCAAAGGGATAGTGTGATTCTCCAAAAATACGCAGAATATAAAGCTGTTGTTCAGAGTATGTGGCTGTGCTAAAATGGAACCCAGGAAAAACTCACTAGTTACAAAACCCTTTGAATAAGGATACTGCTATCTTAGAGAAGAAGGGAAAAATCAATATTATAAAAATATCACAGAAATTGATTTTGGAAGGATAAAAATATTCAGTTCAATCTCAGTTGTAAGGCAGGACACTTTATGCATAATATGCCCTTGCATTGTTTGTTTAACCCACTCCATCAACAAACCTTTGATACTAGA